ATATATATATATATATATATATATATATATATTGTATACATGCATGCATATATATATATATATATATATATATAAAATACTAATCGCTGCCTTCAAAATTTACAGGTACAGTCGAGACGCGCTAGCCACGCAGGTAGTGGTCAAGCGATACATCAAGAGTTTGTTGGACGTCTTTGAACAATGCGAAGACCTTGAGAGCATCGAAGATTTGCATTTACTTGTGCGCATCTTCATGGACTTGATACTACTCAATGTCCCGTGTGTGGTAGATGAACTAACTGAGGAAGACAATATACTGAAGGTGATTGGGGTGTTTGAGTACGATCCCACTCAGAGCGAGGTCAGGAAACACCGAGAGTTTCTAACCACGCAGGCCAAGCTGGTGGAAGCTGTGCCGTTGCCACCGGCGATGGTGGATAAGGTCCACCTCAACTTCCGATTGCAATATCTCAGGGTATGTCTTTTTTCTCAGTAGGAATGAAACCTCACGCTACTCACGCACCATCATTGAATGCTCACACCTTGCACACTTGTTTTTACTATATCACCTACCGGCACTGTTCTTACTTGAGCACGCTATTTATAAATACTTTTTTCATACTTAGTTCAACCAAGCTACGCTAGTCATACTTGATCATGCTAATCAGTTATACTTTTACCAATCACACTTAGTTGTACAAATCACACTTAGCTTCATGCCGCACTAATAGTGTACGTGTACGATCATGTGGTGATACATCAAGCAGACGGCACTGCATACACGACCATTGATTCTTGTGTGCGTGTATACCAGAAGCAGAGTTTCAAAAGTAGTGAAACCATGTTCGTATCTGCGAATGCTTACACTTATCACACTACACTAAACCAAACACTATGTATTATACGCGTAGGACCATGTGCTGATGCGCCAAGCAGACGACACCGCATATACTACCATCAACTCATGTGTGTACTTCACAGAAATGGAGATCATAAATGTTTTGAGCGCTGACGATCCGTTTCTAGACTCGTTATTTGCACCGCTCAATGGACCCAGCGTGACGCCCGAGGTATGGGATTTATGTGAGTGTTTTTGCATGCATATATAGAAATAGATTTTATGTGTGCGTGCGTGTATTTGTATGGATCTGGGTTTGCATGCGTATATGAAATATATGTATGTTTGTATGCGAGCGTGCGCGTGTGTGATTTTAAATGGGTATATGTCGATACACTCGTGTGTGTATGTGTTTGTATATGTCGTCGTGTATGCATATATGCTTTTGTGTGCATGTGTTTGTATATGTCGTCGTGTATGCACATATGCTTTTGTGTGCATGTGTTTGTATGAGTATGTCGTCGTGTATGCACATATGCTTTTGTGTGCATGAGTTTGTATGAGTATGTCGTCGTGTATGCACATATGCTTTTGTGTGCATGCGTGTGTGAGATTTTACCCACTTTAACGTGATACATACCTGGTGAATGTGAGAAATCTTAATGCCCAAATGTACATATATGTGTGTACGCGCCTGCGTGAAGGTGTCGCTCACTACATGCATGGTGTGTGAATGTGTGTGCGAAATATTAAGTAAATCTGTGAGGGGAATATTGATTTAGACCACAAACGTGGAGTGCGCTTTCGCATATATGTTTGCTCGGCATTCGTATTCTTTTCTAAGGATGCTTACACGTTCAGAAAGCGCCAAATTCTTAAGACATCAAGCACCAAGCTCACTGTATTTAGTATATTCAAAATAATATGACATTTCCTGCATAAATATTTATTCCCATACGCGTCCACGTCGTCCAAAGTGATTATATATACAAGTTTATGTGTATATATTTACACACACATACGCACACACACACACGCACATATATATATATGTATATCTGTACGTCTACATATTTGGACATATATTTACA